GCAATTTTTGGAAGTGCCGAAGTGACGTTCTGGTGCTCCCCTGCCATGCTCCCCTGTCAGACGAGACATATACCACGTGATGACACGTTAGGCTCGTGTTGTGTTCAAGGACCCTGACCTTGGCCAGGAAAAACAGGCACTCGCCTGTTTAATTTTTTTGCGGTCTAGATTTCTTTAATTTTTTTCTTTTTTGCGTGTGTTTATAAATTACCTCGAGGGCCGTAGCAAATGGTCTCGCGGGCCGTATACGGCCCGGGGGCCGGAGGTTCCCCACCCCTGCTTTAGGATGATCAAAGGATGAAGTTTTTACCCCCTACTGTGAGGCAGGGGTCATAACTTCATCTATTGGCTACCAAGCAATTAATTAGTTTGTGTCTAAAATGTAAAAATAACCCTGAAAAATGACAATTTTAAAAGACTGCATTTTTAAAAGACTGCATTTAAAGACATTTTTTAACATAACACGACTTCTTCTCTGGTATGTTAGTTGTCTAATGGCTGCAGCTCTATGATCAAATCAAACTTTATTTGTATAGCCCAATATAACAAAACACTGTTGTCTCAGTGGGTTTTACAGATTAAAAGCAAACATTGTATAGGATGGAGTTACAGCAAAATGAGAAGACAAGATAGTGCGTGGAATACAAATAGAAATAAAATAAGATACAACAAAAGACAAAAATAAATACATAAAACATTCAAATTGGGATTAAAATAAATGCAAAAATTAAAATATATGTTTATGTAAAATGAAAAAGACAAAAACATTGAAATTAATTACCATTAAAATAAAAGGAATACCATAAAATGCCAGTTTGTGTGTGTGTGTGACATTCAGGAGTGTGTGTCTCATTCAGGAGTGTGTGTCACATAAAGGAGTGTGTGTGTGACATTCAGGAGTGTGTGTCTCATTCAGGAGTGTGTGTCACATTAAGGAGTGTGTGTGACATTCAGGAGTGTGTGTCTCATAAAGGAGATGTCATTAAATAAAGCCCCTTCACATTTCCCTCCCTCACAACGTGACGGGTGTGAACATCAATTATTCTCCCGTGTCAGAGTGAATGTGGGGGGCGTAAATCAGCTGAAACGATGATAAGAAGAAGAAGATTTGATTACTTCTTTTAGATAATGGTCGCATTGGAAACAGATCCAAGGTCGTTGTGTTGCTGCCGGCCTGAGCGATACATAATTCAGCTTATTGTAGACTGTAATCAGAAGTTAGACTGACTGCATGTAAACACACCATGCTCCATTTTAAATCCAGTTTTTGAGGAGTTTCTGACGCCCATAATTCCTTCAATCCTTCAACCTTTGAACCCCGCTGTTAGAAAACTCTCACTGGTCCCCGGCTTGAGCTTCAACATCAGGATCCATGTATTTATGATAAGTATGTATGAACTACTACTACAACTACTACTACTCCAACTTATACTACTAACACCACTACTACTACTACAACTACTACTACAACTACAACTACTACTTATACTACTAACACCACTACTACTACTACTACTACTACTACTACTACTACTACTACTACTACTACTACTACTACTACTACTACTTACACAACTACTGCTACTACTACAACTACTACTACTACTACTACTACTACAATTTATACTACTAACACCACTACTACAACTACTACTACTACTACTACTACTACTAACACCACTACTACTACTGCTACTACTACAACTACTACTACTACTACTCCAACTTATACTACTAACACCACTACTGCTACTACTACTACTACTACTACTACTACTACTACTACTACTACTAATACTATACTGTTAGAAAACTCTCACTGGTCCCCAGCTTGATCTTCAATCTCAGGTTACATGTATTTATGTATTTTTCTCCAAAACTCTGACTTTTTCTCAAAATCTCAAAATTCTGACTTTTGCAAAGAATTCTCAAAATTCTGACTTTTCCAAACAATTCTCAAAATTCTGACACTTTCTCAAAATCTCGAAATTCTGACTTTTTATCAAAATCTCAAAAATCTGAACAGTGTCCTTCACATGCTGATATCCAAGAGAGGGAGTTCCACAGTCACAAGATGGAGGAATAGAAAGCAGTATTCAATGTTTACTTCAGATTAGCTCCACGTCAGAAATGAGCATGCTTGTCATATGTCTCTCTCCATAGAGGCTGAATCATCATGTTAATCACATAGCTATCATATGCCTCAAACAGTCCTGATGCTCTTCTAGGTAATCACACATCCTGTCATGTTCACAGCTACAGTTGGGATACCTTTGTGATCATGTTGCTCTCATGTTCGAAGAGGACATTCACTATTTTCACAACACGGTGTCCTGAAAGCAGGGCCGGCCCTTGGCATAGGCAGTATAGGCGAATGCTAAGGGAGCATCAATCAATGGGGGGCGCCGAAAATTGAAGAAAAAATAAAATAAAGTTAGAAATAAAAAATATATTTTTATTTTATTTCATAGCAACACAATTTCCCGATTTTGGATCAACAAAGTACATCTTATTATCTTATACTAACAGAACTACGCCTATATTGCATACAGCGTCCATAAACTATGGCGCACCCCCCCCCACCCCCAAAACAANTGTTTTCCCATGCTCCTGAGGGACTCGGGAGACATGGTGCACAATCAGCCCCGTACAGGTCTGGAGGCAGGCTGGGAGAGCCTTCCTCACTATTGTCCATGCCCACTATACACGGAGCGTGTGTGAGTGTGGGGGACGTGGTGCACTTATGGTTTCCCATGCTCCTGAGGGACCTGGGGAACATGGTGCGCGGTAGGCTCCAGACGGAGTCTCCACGCAGGTCTTTTCCATGCACACTCTACACGAAGTAAGCGTGTGTGAGTGTGCCTTATCCAAATTGCGGCCTTGACTTCTCTACGGTTACAACCGGATGGGAGGAAGTGGGGATGCTATGGATTTTAGCCAAAGCCGGTCAGGGACGGTGTGGTGGGTCGATGTTGTTGGATGACAGGGCGTGTATACATCGGGGCTCCGCCCACTGTACCCATAGAGTCCAGTAGAGGACGGAGCCTGTGTGAAATATAACAGCTCGCTGAAGAGTGTATAGGATAGTGGGCGGCGGGTGTAGCCGCCTTATATACTGTGGGCTTGCGCGCGCATTCAGGTAGGCTCGCCCCGATTGGCCGGCTACGTTTACGTAAACTCAGAAGGTGAAAGCACGCACAGCTCGATAGAGAGTAGTACCCATAGAGTCCAGTAGAGGGCTCCGCCTGTGCTTATATACAATACGTAACCCGCTGTTATTGATAGTGCCATCCAGGTACTCACTGTGCATTTTGTCATACTTTGAATTGGGATGCACTTATGTGCCCAAAACGGCAAATATAAATACAGAAGTACGTAAATTGAGAAGCAGCATTAGTCTATAGAAGTTGGGATTACTTACCATACTACTGGCTCATGGCGCTGCTCATTCTGTTCCTGAGTGTTAGTTCTTCTGGGCTGACCATCTTCCTCTGGAACAGAGACATCAGATTAAGAGGTAAAGCTCAATTTAAGTTTGAGAACAAAAATCTTCCAGTTGGTTGTAATGGATAAAAAACATTGTAAAACAAACAGTTAAGGCAAGGGGGTAAAGCTCTCTTAAACAAGGTGAGAAAAATACACTATGGGGACACAAGACCTTGGTAGACACTGCTTTTTGACAAAAGCTCCATGTTACATTGTTTGGATGACATGCAGTCCTTACCACAGGGGTTTGCCTCCACATCGTCCAGGAGATTTGCCGTAGAGTTGGCTGTTCCCAATCTGGAAAGGAGCTTAGTTAAGAAAACAATCAGTCTCACAATTGATGGACTCACAGACAGATCAGTAATGGAAGATGATCCTTAACTTTTTAGATGGTTAACAGCTGTGGTATATAAATGTGATTTGGCTACAACCTTAAAACAGGTGGGTTACGGTTAGTATATGCTCAAGGTAAAGCAAAGGATACGAGTGGTGCTTCAGGAGCATCTTCCTTTTGGACTTTCTCCGCTTTGTCTTTTCTGAGAACGTTCTGGCAATTTCAAACAGCTTCTTTCTTGTTGCTAGAGGAGAAAAATATCCTAGGTCAGCCACTACAATAGGAAATGCTAATTTGAGTGAAATATCAGTAGTGTTGTGACGTAATTGACTTACATTTGCCCATGTGATTGAGTTTGTCTCTGAACATGGCGTCATCTGAGACGGCGTCCATTGAAGCTGCGGAGTACTGTTCTCCTGAACACACACACACACACACACACACACACACACACACACACACACACACACACACACACACACACACACACACACACACACACACACACACACACACACACACACACACACACACACACACACACACACACACACACACACACACACACACACACACACACACACACACACACACACTTCAACTGTAGTAGCAGGTATTTATAGTAGTGCAAAACCTTCACACAACAAACAACTCTCACAGTGAATGCAGAGACAAAACCCAAACTAGTATAGGGAATGAGAAGGTGACGGCATCAATGGCAAGTCGGACATCTTTGAAGGATACCAGTTGACTAACCATTACAGTGAGCAAAGTAGCCTTAACCCTATCAAATAAACGTTTAAAACATGGTCGACAGGCACTGTTGTGTGGTTGGCTATAACAGACAATCCCAAGATAACAATTCAAATGAAATTCCCATATGAATAGATTCAATACTTTTCCAAGATGGAAACCTGATCAGTAAGACATAGCTAACATGGGAAGCTAACAGGGAAGCAGATGATACATTTGTTGGGTGGCAGCTGTCTGCTAACGGTTTAGTTTTCAAAAATTAGCTAACTAAAGTAACACGAACCACTACACAGGGAATACGATATAAAACGTGAAATGTCGCAATATAATTAAATATATCATTAGATTAATGATAAACAGATTTTTTTGGTTAGCATTCAGTTAGCAATAACTATCTCACTTGTGTCCGAATTATTGTATCATTGTGTGATTGTACTGTCCTTGGGTCCATAGGTACTGTACCCATCTGTTTGTAAATTAGACAGGAGATTTAACATTTTTTTAATTACCGGAAGATGTAGGCGCTAACTCCAAAGACCAGAGAGGTGCTGACACCTGTATCAGCGATTGGTGGCAAGTCGTCAAGATTCTTAAACCAAGAACTTCTCTCGCTTAAGATTTCATATTCTGCACATACATTTTTCATTTTGGATACAAAAAAACCTTAAAAATGACTGGTGAAAAGCTGATAGACATTGATGGCTGCCGACGTTGCTATAGTCGCTATCCTCCAAAGATGGCAATGACGCCCTAGAATGCACCAATTCCCATTCCATGTTCAGTAGAGTTCAGTGTGCAAAGAGCTTGGCAGAGGAAGCTTGATATCTACCTGTGCAACTCTCCATACTAGATGAATGATGAGACTTTGATTTCTTTGATTCATACTTCAAGCGATCTAAAAACAGAGAGCAGATGTTATGACCACTGATGTGAGGGATCAAGATGGCAGAACCACCTCAGTCCTGAACCTCCATTTCAGTATGTCTAAACAGTGTCTGATAAGGGCACCAAAACAGCCAAGGCAAGCATTTAGCTAAAACGTTAGCATTTCCATCGCTGACAAAAACATTTCACTGTATTAAACAATCTCTAAAGTGGGAAGTAGTATTATTTACTGTCCAAAAATGTTGTTGGTCATCATGTTTATGTTGTTTAACTTTTTAAAGACTGATTGTGTGAACTTTTAAGTTCTGATCTGAACATTAGACATTTGCTTTCTCCATTTAGTTTTAAAACCCTATTAAATAGACCCTCCAGAAAAACGCGATCCTGCGATCGCAGAATTTACCGCTTAATCAGCAAAATGGCGCAGATTTTTAAAAGGCCGCATATTTGTCAAAAGGCCGCATAATCCCCGCATTTTTCCACACAAAAATGAGAAGAAAAGAAAGTTAACTCGTCTTGACATGAAGTAGTGATGATGATGACGCGACGTCATCAGCTCGCGCATCACAGAAGGTAAACAACACCGTAGAGTGAACGTGTGGAACTCACACGAAAGACAAAACACCAAGATGAAAAAATCTGATCCATCTCATTTACCGACGAACATTTCTGCTAAAGACCGGGCAAAGCATATACCCCGATGTCTTTCACGAAAGTGGGGGGAAACTATTCTGCACCCCGTGCAACTGTGTTGGAGCATAAGAGAAAATCCACGGCTTAGGAAGAAAGTCGGACGGGTGAACGGAACCCAACCTTTGGATTCATTCAACATTCGAAAATGCTTTCTGCTGCTGCGGACCAAGAAAGCCAAAACCAACTCACGTTCACGGGGGAGGGGGATTCAACCCTCCAAAACCCTTTCGCAGGGGCTAACCAAGGAAACGAAGCTGAGTAAGCCTACAAGATTGAAAAGCTGGTCCAAGATAACGGAACGGGAGTAAATGAAAACAGAATGAGGCCGGAGAAGTGTGAAGTGTGTGTGTGTGTGTGTGTGTGTGTGTTGTGTGTGTGGGTTGTGTGTGTGTGTGTGTGTTGTGTGTGTGTGTTGTGGTGTGTGTGTTGTGTGTGTTGTGTGGTGTGTGTTGTGTGTGTGTGTGTGTGTGTGTGTGTGTTGTGTGTGTTTGTGTGTGTGTGTGTGTGTGTTGGTGTGTGTGTGTTGTGTGTGTGTGTGTGTGTGTGTGTGCGTTTGTGTGAGATAGAGATGTGATTAAAAGGGGGAACCCAATTGCCTTTTACAATAAATAAACCATTGAATGTGTTTTTAATTGAATAGGACAGGGGTTTAACGTTAAGTGCAGGTTGTGTTGTGAGAAGGAGAATAAATGAAGGACAGGCCCCAATATTTAAAAAAAAAATCTATTATTTTCGCAATTTCACCCGCATAAAATCACATAAAAACCCTGCATTGGTTTTAATCGCACTTAATCAAGATTTAGCCTGCATAATCAAGGATTTGAGCCCCGCAATAATCAAGGATTTTTGCCGCGTTTTTCTGGAGGTCTAATTAAAGAACATTTGCATTCATTTTCAATTTATTTTAAGAACTGAAATAAGAGAAGTTCATCCTATTCAAAATAGTGTGGCCTCTAAATATAACTACTACCAACAATGGAAGCACCTTGATCATAAGCTGAGTATGTAAGAACGTGGACGAATGGAGACATAAGGAATTCATTTTGTCAAAGTAAAGAAATCTAAGAAATGACAATAATTAAATAAACACCAGCAATTAAAAGGTAANAATTAACAAACCTGTTACAAATGTGTTCAACAAATTTGAGCCTTTGCCACATTTATTTGATCACCATGGAAACCTTTGATCTCTGGACACGTCGTTAGCTCAAATATAAACACCTGTGTCATGGAACACGATGATGTCATAACTCCAACTGACATGCTCAGAGCAGCAGACTTCAGATAATGGTTAATGGTCCTGCCCTCAACAGCTCTACGTCAATTATGGGGTGTCATCATATGCCGTTTCCATGGAAACGCATCCCTCGCCATAAAACATGATGCCGCTGTAGCTCCAATGGACACGGTCCGGTCGTCCCACAATCTTCACCTGTATATCGCCTCAAGAGCTCTACGTCAAATCTGACATCTCACCATATGCCGTTTCCATGGAAACGCATCCCTCGCCATAAAACACAATGTTGTCGTAACGCCTATGAAAAGGGTCAAAACAGCACCACACTTCTGATAATGGTTAACGGTCCAGCCCTCAACAGCTCTACGTCAATTATGGGGTTTCATCATATGTCGTTTCCATGGAAACGCATCCCTCGCCATAAAAGACGATGTCGCTATAACTCCTATGAAAATGTTCAAAAAGTGCTCAAACTTCACATGTGTGCTAACAGTCCAGCCGTGAAGACATCTACGGGATAGTTTTGAGATTTCTTCAAATGCCGTTGCAATGGCAACACAATGCTCGCCATGAAACATGGTTTTCTCATAACTTCAGTGAAAATGCTGCAAATGGGCCAAAACTTCACAAGTTTGGTAACGATGCAGCCATCAACGCATCTAAGCGTATTATGGGATGTCATCAAATGCCGTTGGCATGGCGACAGATCATTCACCATCAAGTTAGTTCAAAGGTTTGCAGTTAAAATATTCTGCTCCTTTTCCAGGCATTCTTACTTTATTTTCTTCTCTCATCAAACATTCAAGCCCCCAGTGTTCATGTATCATTTCAATCTAAATTCTTCACTTTCTTCTTACACATTACATTTCAGCATAGCAGTTTAGCGTTAGCTTTTCAGAATAAAGCATTCCCACTAGCAATTTCTTCAGGAATTGCATTCTCTATTTTGTCAATATAATGCTGAATCAAATATGCAAAGACAGGTGTAAAGGGTACATGGAAAAATAGATGCACATTCCCTTTTTGTGATGATATTATCTTAAACAGATGCTCTTTCTCTCTCTGTGTGCTCTTTTCTTCTCGTTCTGTTGTCTATGAAGAGGATTTCAGGAGAACAGCATGCACCAGTCTGCTGCAGAATGTAGTTGAGACAAGTAGAAGGACGAGAGACCAAGCAGAGGGTGAGGAACAAAAAGCCAAAACAGTGTTCTTGGTAAATGACCACACAATGTTTATTGAGACCAAGCATTGTTTCTCTCTACAGAGTTGGATAATGTGGAGCATCAAGTTGTTGGTCCAGGAATGGTTGACATGGCTTTGCACGTGTGTCAAGAGTTTCTCAGTGTTTTGGAGCACGGCGACATTGATTCAACAGCAGAAACACCACAATCAGTGAAGGAACAGCATTGGATTGAGTTTCTGCAAGACTACTACATGGTTGTGCAGTGAGTATGTTTTCATGGAGCTTCCTGGAATGCTCAAATTATCCTGCTGAGGTCACACTTAGTGCATCTGCAGTACAGCCCAAGTAGTCACTGGAAATATACAGCATGTCCCAGTCCCACACTATTGTTTATTCTGTACAAATACTATAAAGTAAACAATATACTGCATGCTAATATTTAAAGGGTACTATGATTGGCAGTTGGTATAAAAAAGATAAATAGTGCCCTGCTGTATAAACTGGCATGCAAACAGCCATCATTGAGCTGCATAATCAGAACAATACTTCCTATTTCAATCTTAAATCAACTCTGAACTGTGAGTAGCTCTTTCACTTAATTTCTTGTGTGCATTGTATTGGACATTAATGTCTTATTATTAACACCACACAGTAACTTTTATTTTGTTTTTTTATTATGCATTGGTACTTTTAATGTTGGATTATATAATTTCCCCCTCTTTGAATAACCAGTATGCCTACTTACATAACTCTTCAGTATGGAAGCACAATGACTGTCTGAAGGACAGCATTATAATCTTGATCTTAAAATAATACACTCTTCATGTTTGTAGTGAAGGTGCATCAATCAGGGGTAGCGGTGTGTTTGTGGAGCGCTGCCAGGCCATGTTAATCAGACTGCAGGAAGTTTGCCCTCAGCTTGATACTGATGGACTAAACAACATATGGATCATCAAACCAGGTGCCAAGTCAAGAGGGCGAGGTAAGGTTTAAAGAAATACAAATAACATTAATAATTATATAAATATGGGGGTCTTTTTTATGAATCTTTTACTTCTTTTACTGAAAAAAACATTGAAAAACAAACTTGCCATGGTGACTTGTATTATTGCAAAGTACATTTGGACATGAGGATGTCACTATTGCTTTATGTTTCTATTCTTTCTTCTCAGCTTAAGTATGATAAACTAATTCAAGCCTGCTTTTTTGGTCCTCAGAAACTTCATATCCTCTTAGTTTAATGTAATCATGTTGAAACCACCCCTCTAGGTATAATGTGCATGAATCGCATGGAAGAGATTTTGGCACTCGTGGACAGTGACAGAACCCTGAGTAAGGAGAGCAAGTGGGTTATTCAGAAATACCTGGAGCGTCCTCTGTTGGTCCATGGCACCAAGTTTGACCTCCGCCAGTGGTTCCTGGTCACGGACTGGAACCCCCTGACTATCTGGTTCTACAGAGAGTGCTACCTGCGGTTCTCCACTCAGCCCTACTCCACAAAAACTCTGGACAAGTACATTTTTCATTTGTTCTTGACCTTTGCTCTATATTGTATCTGCTTTGTGGAGGATATGATTTAACAATGCAAGGAGGATCGAGTTTCATTTAAAGCATGATTTACACTAACCTTCATGGCCTTATCTCTTTTATGTTTCCTCAGCTCAGTCCACCTGTGCAACAACTCCATCCAGAAGCACTTCCAGCCGTCCTGTGAGCGCCATCCAGGGGTTCCTGAGGATAACATGTGGTCCTGCTCTCAGTTTAAGGCTTTTCTACAGTTGCAGGGCCTTGGGGCAGAGTGGGAGTCAATTGTGATCCCGGGCATGAAGCAAGCGGTGGTCCGTGCCCTGCAGACATCCCAGGACCTCGTAGAGCCCCGCAAAGCGAGCTTCGAGCTCTATGGAGCCGACTTTATGCTGGGCAGAGATCTGAGGCCTTGGCTTCTGGAGATCAACGCCAGTCCGACCATGTCCTGCTCCACCGCTGTGACTGCCCGCCTCTGCCCTGCTGTGCAGCTGGACACACTGAGGGTGGTGCTCGACAGACGCACTGATCCTAGTGCTTACACAGGAGGATTTCAGCTAATATTCAAACAGGTAGGAATATATTCAAATATCATGCCTACACAATGGGTTATAACTTCCTTGTGAAGTACACTGAATTATAGAGGCCACACCAAGTGCATATATTTGTGTCTTTATCCCTCTACCAGGCTGCAGTAGAAGTTCCCCAGTATGTAGGAGTAAACCTGGTGGTGGAAGGAGCCCCCATAAGGCGATCCAGATCTCTACTTCATAGACAAACTGTTATTTCTAAGCCACCGCTCAACATGCAGCTCCCTCCACACCAGTCCTCAGACGAGGTTGAAACGACACATATACCGGTATCAGGTCAGAGGTCCTGTGCAGTCTCTGCTTTCTGTCTTTCAGGCAAAGAGAACCGAGCTGCTGGAGAGAAAAAGAGGCAGCTGACATCAACATCTCCTAAAAGGGAATGCGAAGGGAGGAAAGATGTTCAGAATACCTCCTGTGTTCGCACGTTGGGTCGCAGTCTGGCAAGTCAAATGCCCCTGGTGGTACACACTGAACCTCAGAGGAAAGCGCGACGGTTGGGTTTGAGTCTTGGTGCCAACGGGGAAACTCTGGTCCCACGAAGCTTCTCCTTTTCCCTCAGCCCCCCTCACAACATGTCAGATTGCAAATCTTGGGCCAACCAAGGCCATGGATCACACATGACTAGATCTTTTCTTCCACAGACAGCTTTTGATCCTCAACACAGGACTCCTACCCGGGTGTTTCCTTCCCTCCGCAGTCCCCTTCCTACCCTGGAGGTCTTAAGCTTGCGACCTAACATAGTGGCTGGAAACACAGCCTGTCGTATTCCAAACTTGTCCTCTCATCTCAACGTCCACAGGCCTCAGTTATTCCTCTGCTCTCGAAGGCAAAGCATGGCTACATTTAAAGGGCAGTGCACAGGGGAACATAAACATTGAAATTGAGTGTTTAACAAACAGTTGAAAGTGCTAAAGAAATGTTGTTAGCAATAACAGTTATCATGCCTAACAAACAACAAATAAGATGTATATATATCACAACATACTACTGTATGTGATCATTTAAATTGTTCTTGTGGCTTTAGATTTTATTTGTTAAAAGAAACAAGACAATCATGTTTCAAGTGAGACATTTCCCAATCATTCTCAGGCTTTCAATTTACAACAGTAAGGTTCATATGAATAATTCTACATTCTTATATTAAGAGAAAAGTGTTGAACACTCCATATGCTTAAGTGGTATATCTGAACTATGTTGTGGTTTGCCTGACTGGAAATGTGTATGATTTATGATTATGTTGTGTATCGCTTATGTAAGAGCGATACTGGGTGGAAGTTAGTTATGTATTAAAACAAACGAACCAAACAAGTTAATCGAAGTGTCTCCAGTGTAGCAGATATTTAATAATAATAATAATAATGGATTTAATTGATAACGCACTTCATATCTGAGTTCAGATCCCGAAGTGCTACAAGCATTTAGCATGGAACAAAAATAAAAACAGTACACAACACGGTAAAATGAATAAAAAGCAGTACAAAAAATAATACATTTCAAGCTGACTGGGCAGAAAATAATATAATAAAAGGATCACTGGTTCTATGTTCTGCAGAGAAGTGGTCATTTTCATAATAACAGGATGTAGGTATATGTAATACCCAGTAGGGGGCAATAAAGGCTAAACCAGGGGTACTCAAATACAAATCTTAAAGGTCCAACATTTTCTTTTCAATAAGACAAAGGTCCGTTTATTACGGTCATTCACACGAGGTTGCAAAAACAAAAATAATCTGTATGCAGCAGTTTTCATTGTTATTGTGTCTGTGCTTGATCCCTCAGGGTCGCAGTGCAGCTGCAGTTATGAATAAAGGCAGCTGCACCCTCTTTCATTCAGCATTACCATTATTGCTTTATAAATGTCTTGCCCCCTTGTGTGTCCACTGAGGTTCGTCAGGCCCAACACATCTTCAACAAACTCCCCCTTTGCCTCATCATAAAAACTCACAAACACCAGCAACTGAGCATTGTCAGTGGGGGAGTTTGTTGAAGATGTGTTGGGCCTGACGAACCTCAGTGGACACANATAATAATATATAATAATGCCCATTGCCAAGCATCGTTGTAGCATTTCCCTCCGAATAATGGTCAAAGACCTGACTGATGATTAATTCATTGAAATCTCCAATATCAACGTAAGAGCTATAAAGACACACAAATAACAAATACATTTAGGCTCCATCCGTATTAGAATCACTTTAGCATATTACCAAAAGTTAACAGTAAACAGCCAGCAAAGCTACAAAACAGCATACAAACGAATTAGGACACAACCTACATGTTTATATTATAGTTAATACCAACCTTGTGCCTCTTAAACTTAAACATAAACGTTATCCTTTACTTTCTCCGTCTTGTAGATGTAGATTAATCTCCGTCACATTGTTTCCATAGCAACAACAACTTCCTGTCAACAGCGTAAACTCGCCTTCAAAAATAAAAGCATCTAAATAACCCAGGAAGTTAACCTAAATTACATTTAAGAAATATTTACAACTGCAACGAAATTAACAAAAATAATGTAATATCCTTTTTCAGTTTCACAGAACACAAATTGAGTTATTTACAATCGTTAGGTAACTATTTTATTGCACAGCAACAATAGGTTTTAGCATTCAAACCTGCTCATGGACTTGCAGTAGTCCTCGCTTTTTTTATGTCTCTCCAACGAGTTATGCTGTGCTTCCAGTCTACATATATTCATCCCTCGTAAATGCACCTTCAGCTCCTGGGCTGGGAAAATGTCTGCACATTTTACAGAAAAGCGCGTCCCTGCAGGCAGCTCTCTGCCTCTCTCACGTTACTATGGCGCGCGCCGGAACCAACAACCAGTTTTTATGGTAAATGAGTTTGGTTCAGAGGATAAAACACATAAAACATTAATTGAACTCGATATTTGTTCACTTGAATTTCACTTTGAATGCTTGGATATTCTCAATGGGTGAATAGATTTTTTTATAATAATAATAAAAAAAATTAAAATTACACCGAAGCTTTCTCAGGGTGGGCCAATGAGTAAACTGGGTGGTAAACTTCTTATTTCAAAGACTATCATGATGTTGCTCTCAGTTGGGCAAACTAAAAAGGACTAAAGTCGTTTTTTGAACCTTCTCTTTCCAAATCTAATGACGGTCTCTATTGTTTGTTTTCATCACGTTTTGACATACAATACATATCATTTTTGTTTGGAAGCAGCATCGTGTAGTTTTTGCTGGTCCTACAATTAAAGTCCCTTGATTGAGCTACTGCTAAATGAAAATCATCAGAGTGCTTGGTCCCAGTCGAGAAAAAATTATGTATTTCAATGTATAATTGAATAAAAGAACAATATAGACTTTGGGTTGCTAGCCCCTTCTAACACACTGCCTGTCTTCTCTCTCTGTAGGTGCTGATGACTGTGATGTAGCTATGTGTGTTTCCTGGCGGATTTTGACTCTAATCTCTACCTGGTGACAGGACCGTGATTGTTCATTTCTGTCACCACCTGCACACCCTTTAATACGGTTAGCCATGCCAGATTTATCTGAATAACAAGTAGCATTGGGGGTTTGGGGGGAACTTGAGTGATTATACCTTCCCAACAAAAGACTGCCATGTTTCTGTTAGAATGAGAAACTGAGCGAGGAAAAAGTGAAAAGCAAGTGAGACTGAAGGGGCCAAAGTGCTTGTGTTGGTGACGGAAAAGAAGAGCCATCCTAGCAGTAGGTTGGCATCAATTAAAGCAGCAAGGCCCTGAGGATGACTAGCCTGTTCAAGCGCAGCAGCAGCAATGGAGGCTCCGGGGGCAGCGGGAGTGGCGGAGGTGGGAGCGGCAGCGGCCAGGGGCAGCTCAACAACAGCCGGTCCAACCGGCAGGTCCGTCGCCTGGAGTTCAACCAGGCCATGGAGGACTTCAAGATCATGTTCCCCTCTATGGACTATGAGGTGATCGAGTGCGTGCTGCGCTCCAACAACGGAGCAGTGGACGCCACCATCGACCAGCTGCTCCAGATGAGCATTGACGGACAGGGCTCAGACGACAGCTCAGACTCTGATGACAGCATCCCCCCAGAGGTCAGTTGAAAAGGTCAAAGGGTACCGACAAGCCTAGCCTGTTAATATTGACATTATAAACCAAACCCTCCACTTTTATTTATAGGGATGTCGAGAAACAATACTTTGTTCCTTAATTCTGAAAATGTGATAGTGCTTGCTTTACTATAGTATGGAAGATACCACAGATACTGTCAGGGCTTGAGACTAATGGCATCCAGTTGACAATAGAAAAATGGGTCTGGGTCACGATAAACTCACTTCCAACGCACCCTATTTTTTCTCTGATAATGCTACATTGTGAACTACAAATCAGCGTTGAAAGGTCGAGAGAACAGCTACTTACGTTAGCAGTTAGTTGTTAGCTTTTAGCAGCACTGAACCACTGGGCTCACAGGGAGGGGGCGGGCAGGAGCTCCAACAAGCCGTTTAGGACAGAGTGAATACACATGCTATACAGAGATGCTGTATGAGAACCAATGTGATTTTGGAAAATTGCACAATATAAATCTATTTTAGTATACCTCAACAATGGAATTATGATCAGTAGAAATGGCCATGGGACCTTTTTAATGTTTCTGAATTTAAACAACAGTCAAATGTGCAACAGTGGAAATCCACTTACTTTGATGTGCAGCACCACTATAACTTCCAAGCTTTGTATTAAAATAAATAAAAGATTAGAAGGAGGTCTACATTTTGCATGTTATATTTCACATGATCTAAACATTATACAACAAACCCTAATTAGGATCAAAGGGGAGCATTTTAAAATTGCAAGTGCATACAGTATGGGCAAGGCAGGTTTAAAACATTTAATAAAGAAAGGCTGTGTTGCACTGTCTGTCTGTTTATAGATTCTTGAGCGAACCCTGGAGCCTGACAGTTCAGATGAGGAACCTCCTCCAGTCTACTCTCCACCAACATATGATATGCACATTTATGACAGGAAATACCCCGAAGCTCCACCAACACCCCCGCCGAGGTAAGGAAGTGCAATTGAACTGATATATAAAAGAAGCTGAAGCCTTTAAGATCCACTTTCAAAGCTTTTTTCAACAAATGAAGTGGACCTCTGATTGTATTGAAGAGATAGGCGGTTTCTAGATGGAAAAGCTATTTGCTTCTGTTTTAAAGCCATTACCAAAATTCTAGCCAATATTACTTCACTTTATAGAACTTATCCGTATTTGAATCCTCAATTTGATAGATGTTGATAACTTAGCCAGATACTTTACTATTGTTATTAATTGATTGGATTGTGTCTGCTCTTAATCAAGGCAGTTCAGTACAGTTCTCCATCACCGTTTGAATTAAACGGCTAGGTGTTAATCCTGCTAGACTCTTTGTTTGTAGAAGATCTTGGTGCGCCAGCGCTTTTTGTTTTATCCCCTCCAGGAGACCAACCCGCCAGTCATTACTACTGCTTCCCTCCACCTCATTTAGCTTAGCCTTTAGCCTCTGGTTGTCTCCTCTAGCAAACTGCAATAGGCAAACAACCTTTTTAACCATGACTTAGCAAAAATAACACAATGTAGCACAGCAGTTCTATGCTCTTGAATTGACTGGTCTTGGACTTCTGCTCTTTAGGACAACGTGTGCATTTTTTCATTGCACCAAATGGGAACCATGGCTGTATAACATTTTCTGCAAATCCTTGAAGTAAATATTGCAATTAGGATTCATCATCTGGGGATCTTATACATCTTTTTCAAATGTGATGAAATGAATCCAATAGTTGTTCAGATATTTCAATTAAAATGTGAAAACACCAAGATGAAAATGTTTCCTTTTTTAGCCTCTCACCTCTCATGTAAATATGTAATGGTCTGAGATAGCTGCATGTAGTTAATTGGCTGAGATATTCATCTGTCCTGTTACTCCATGGGCTCTTACAGATTTGAAGCAGAGCCACCTCCGGGTCATCAGCAGGTCAGAAGCTACCGGAACTGGAACCCTCCTTTGCTCGGAAATCTACCCGATGACTTTCTGCGGATCCTACCGCAACAGTTGGACAGTATCAAGGTAAAAAATGTCGGCTCGATGTTGAATCGATGCATTTGGTTGTTTATTTACATGTCTTAATGTAGTTACATTTTAATTTGTAATAATTCAGAAAATACACATTTTCCTTATAAAATGCAGTATAAAAGCCAATGTTCTTTTCGAAACCAGGTGCTTTGTTAACAGAAATGCAAATCTCAGTTACATGAGTCTAGAAGTATTCAAATCATGTCCAAGACGATCCCTGTAAAGTACATATAGCAGCAGATCCGCAATACTAACTAATATCCGGTCCTGCTTTACCTCA